AAAGAACAGGGATCTAACAATTTGAAACTTATCTTTTGATATGCACAATACTAGGGAGACTTCCTATGCAGACAAAATTGCATTAGACTTCTACATTTGTTTTAAACTTCTTATCCAATTTGCATTATCAGCATACTATTCATATATTGACATTGCAAAAGGATGCATTATTTCAAGCTTTCGCCCTCTTCTCTCCACAGAGCTGTGGCAACTCTCTATCCCGAGCTTGCATACATTACAGAACTGTGAGAATATTTTGTCTTCTGACCTGATGTACAAGAGTCTGCACATGCTAGGCCCGTTCATGCTACTGTCCTCAAGTTACAGCAGAGAAATTTCATGGATTATCAGCCCTTTTAGGGCCCATAAGCCCTTTTAGACACAAGGTCAAACAGAAGAATTAAAATGAGTTTCAGCGGCAATTTAACATTAGTCTTTATCTTATGCCAAAACAGACATGAATCACAAAGAAATCTATTGCATCTCAGCTGAGGTAGTATTTTAATAGCTGACAGTCAAAGACTACCTTCCTGCTATAACTGAGCAGCTGTAGTATTTTTTTTTTTTAGGGAGGCAAAAACCTACCCCCCCACCTCCTCCCCACCCCAAAAAAAAAAAAAAAAAAAAAAGATTGTCAGCAGTGATTTAAAACAATTTGAACAATTTGGCTTTATTCACCACAACCTAGCAATATATGAAAAAAAAAAATATATATATATACTAGTCTGAAGGATTAAAATGCTAAAACAATCAAACAGCTCAAGCATCACAGAAAGAATATTAGAGGTTTGTTGTTTTTTTTTTTAAATGGTTGCAATCATAGTTAAATAGGTTGCTTCCCCCCAAAAAAAGTAAGGGTTTGGAAGTGTCTGAAGAAAGTACAGGAAACCACCTGTAAGTAATCCTACAGTTATTAAATCTTGAAAGAGAAATCTGATAATTGTGGTGGGCTAACCTTGACTGGCTGCCCGATACCCACCAAGTCATGCTTTTCACACAGAATCTCTAGGTTGGAAGAGACCTCAAGATCATCGAGTCCAACCTCTAACCTCTTTGCTCCCCCTTATCAATGGCACAGAAGAAGAAAATAAGAGGTACGAAAGCTTGTGGGTTGAGATAAATGCAGGGAGATAGTCTACCATTCACTGTCATCAGCAAAACAGACTGCTGGGGGAAGATCAATTTATTGCCAATTAAAAATAGAGTAGGATAACAAGAAACAAAGACAAAACTGAAAAACACCTTATTTCCAGGCTTAACTCTTAACTTCACTCCTTACTTTTCCACATCCTTCTTCCCTGTGACCCCTGAACGGCACAAGGGGTTGGGAATGGGGGTTGCGGTCAGTTCCCAACACTTTGTCTTTGCTGCTCCTTCCTCGTACTTCTCTTATGCTCCACCGTGGGATCCCTACCATGAAACACTGACTGCCCCAAGCATGGGTCTCTTCCAGGGGATGCAGACCTTCAGGAACAGACTGCTCCAGTGTGGGCATCCCACAGGCCACAGCTCCTGTCAGACCTCCTACTACAGCCATGGGCTCCTCTCCATAGGCCAGGAGCCTGTTTCTGCATGGCTGCAGCTTCCTCCAGGGTATCTCTACCTGCTTCAGTATGGGGTCCTCCACGGCCTGCAGTGTGGTACCTGCTCCAACACGGTCCTTCATGGGCAGCTGCACCACGGGCTTTATCACAGTCCTCTCCATGGAGTGCTAGGGGATCTCTGCTCTGACACAGAGTGCCTTTTCTCCTTCCTTCTTCACTGACCTTTGCAAGAGTTGTTTTCTCACATTTTTCGTCACTCCTCTCTCACTACTGCTGCTCAACATTTTTTTAACCCTTCCATAAATATGTCATCACAGAGGCACCATGAGAATCACCGATGGGCCCAGCAATAACCAGCAGTGGTTGTGTTTTGGAACCAGCTATCTAGCATGGGGATAACCCCCAGTCTCTGTTCAGGAGAGGCCACCCCTTCCAATACTAAAACCTTGTTACGTAAACCCAATATAATACTACAGAGAAAATATCATTTTAGTGGATAAACGTGTAACAAAAAGGCTCACAGGTAGAAGGTGAAGTTAATAAAAATAAATGTTATCAAGCAATGGCAATAGTCAGAATATATGAGTATTTGAGCTCATTCATCACTAAGATTTCAACTAAAACTGAACATTTTTGCCGAAAGAAACATTTTAGATCAAAAAAGAATTCAAGTAAGCACTACAGCCTACGTTATGCAGAATACATAGAACAAATGATCCCCTTTTGCTGTTGCCTTATTATATTCCTTCAACTCTAACACCGCACTACTTCCGAGTCACCTGTGAGCACATCCTTTGTTTCTTCACCCTGTGTTAAAGACATAGGAGCCCTGCATGCTATGAGGAGGAATCAGAAGTGGTTACATAGCACAGGCTTTCAATCTCTGCCTTTTCACATCAGCTTAAGAGCTACATCTACTACCGCTACGCAAGCATGGAGAAGACAACTCACTGATTATCTAAAATGGCTCCGCTCACAACATCAGCAGAAAGGTAAGCTGCTATGCAGGTTGTAATTATACCCATTTGCATAGATGGAAAGAGCTCTGACCATCTAAATCACAAGCTGAGGTCTGCACAACGTGCAGTATCAGCACATGAACTCCAATATGTTGTACTTCCTCTCCTATGAAGGCAGGCTGAGGAAGTTGGGGTTGTTCAGCCTAGAGAAGTGAAGGCTCCACTAGGACCTTATAGCGGCCTTCCAGGCACCTAAAGGGGGCCTACAGGCAAGCTGGGAGGGACTCTTTGTCAGGGGGTGTAGGGGTAGGACAAGGGGTAACGACTTGAAATTGAAAGCGGATAGATTTAGATTGGATATAAGGAAGAAATTCTTCATTCAGAGGGTGGTGAGGCCCTGGCACAGGCTGCCCAGAGAAGCTGTGGGTGCCCCATCCCTGGAGGTGCTCAGGGCCAGGCTGGATGGGGCTTTGGGCAACCTGGTCTGGTGGGAGGTGTCCCTGCCCATGGCAGGGGGTTGGAACTGGGTGATCTTTAAGGTCCCTTCCAAACCAGACCTTTCTGTGATTCTATAATACCTCAACCATATCTGTAGTTCCAAAAATTGTGTTTTATCAGTAAGGCCCTTTTATCACTAAGTCTACCAGTCAGCTAGTGCTGTCTGACACAAAACTCCAGATAAATACCAAAGTTGCCTTCTTTGCTGAGAAAGTCACAGGGATTACATGAAGAAACTTGAAGTCACTCATATCTCCACATCACAAGATTTTGTAAACTGCAAGTCTGATATGAAGATAAGGACCTTCTACAGATTACGTATGAACCTTCTGGACTGTGATCTTTAGCAGCCAGCCCTATGTTCAAAAAGCCTGGGTTAAGAATGTCTGACTAATGCCTCTCAATAACAAGAGCAAAAGAAACCGCAGCTTCATGGTCCTTCCTCACCCTGGGTCTTCCCTTGAAAGACTACTGAAACCAAAAAGCAGGGAGAACTGAGGTACAGTCTTTTATAAGTTATGGATAACTGAAATTAAAAAAAAAAAAAAGTTATGGGGAAGAAAGAAAAAGGATAGATATTTCTTTTTGTATTCACCTGCCAGTTCAAACTCAGAAGGACCACTTTGTTCCAGTAAGTACTTCACAACGTACTGGTTCAAAGCACTCAGTTTACTCTTCAGATTGATTTACAGCAAACACGTCAGATCTGTATTAATAGTTCAGCCTTAGCCTTTGGCTCTTCTTCCACTATGAAAGTTTCTACTGTGCGTGCTTCAGAATTTAGCAACTCATCCAAGAGAGAACGGTCTTAAGTCACCAGCTAAACTGACACCTACAGCTTTCATCTTCAAGTATCTCTCTACAAACTTTTCTGGATCCCTTTAGATTTGTTAGCTCTGAACCAATAAACAGAAGTTCTTTGCTACATCAAGTAGCCAAAATAGCATCAGAAGAGCAAAACTGGAACCCACGAAGAAAAGAATTAAGAAACCACTGTGCCTCAATTGACTAGCTTTGCTATTCTTGAATGCACTCCAGAGAGACATATCTAAACTTTTCAGCTGGAAACAAACACAGGAAGACGACTTAAAACTTAATGTCTTGGTTTAGTATAATCCTAATAATCTATGTGGAAAGGACGCAGAAAATCTTCCAGGTTAATAAAGACTTATTATGCAAATATTCTAGTTTCACACAGGTCAAGAAAGAAAATAAGAAATGACCAACACTAACAATGAAACAGCATAGACAAACACTGCCAAAAAATCTCCCAACAGTACAGAAAAAACAAAGGCAAGAGCTGCTTTACACCTTACATACCAAACTAGACGGGGAAAAGCTATGGTATATGCCGTCACTCTGAAAGAGTCAGATTTCATACAGTAAGCACACATGCATCTGCAACAGAATCTGTGTGGAATTTAACCATGAGAGAATCATTTGTTGTGACATGACCACAACTGAAATCTTAACTATTAATAAAGCACACTCTGGAACTCACAGATGTAGAATATTTTCACCTATGCACTGATGAGACTAACAGAAGGCAACAGAAGTGCTTTGCTCACTGGCACTAGGAAAGAGTGAACAATAAAAAAAAAAAAAAAAAGAACCACCAGTTTTAAGGTTTGCAAGGATAAGAACAGAGGAGCTCAACCTCCCTCCTTGTTCAGGAATGCTCTACGTAGCCACATTTTACTATCAAGACTTCTCACCCCCCAGTCCAATTATAATTTCTACCATATTCAGTTTTGTGCTTTCCACAGGAAAGCCTACCTCATACTAAAAATAGTATGGAAAGCATGAAAGTTCATCAGAACAAACAGTAGGATACCACATCAAACAAGAGCCTGTGATAAAGAACTCTGAAAAGTATCAGGATGCTAAATTGGCTTAAGTAAGCTTCATGGCAAGTAAGCCTAAACAACAGTGCCTGCAAACTGTGATACCAGTGTGCCATAATACAGTACTATCTTTATTACAACCATCTTTTACTTACAGTTTGTGGGTTGATATCATCTTCTCCCATAGGTTCATCCACAATTTGCTGTCCATTCTGTAAAAAACAGACACAGCAAGTTAATAGAGGTGCTGAATCCAGCTACAGAAATACACATTGCCAATGGGCTTATACAGCATGTTCCTCTATAGGGTCAAGAGTTCTCTTCAACATATCGTCAAACAAAACAAAAAAATGAATCATTGGAAGTGGGTACAAAAGGCTGCCTACAGCTGGCACATGGTGCCATGCCACTCTGATCCTTATGTACGACCGAATTGGATAAAGTCACAGTAAGAAACATGTAAAACAACTTGGCATTTTAAGTCTGACTACTACAAAGCTAGAGATTATTTTCTATTACTGCAACCTCTTCAAAAGCAAATAAATCCAATAGAGACTGAGCAGCAAAAAGCCACATCAAAGAACAGATAAACAGGTTCTTTTTTAGACTAGTACCTTGTGTGGCAACAGTCAGTCCTTACTCTGCCATGAGTACTACAAGAACATTTATAACCACATTATATACCTATAAAAAACTACAAATGCTTACAGTTGCTGGCTAACAAAATGGTCCACTCACTACTTTTAGTACATTCCTAAAGACCATTCTAAAAAGCTTTCAAATGTGAAAAAGCCTAAATGCCTTCTTGGTTAACGAATGCTTTCTTTTCCTTGGCAGTGGTTACTACTTGGGGAATCTCTAAGTGGCATTTTTTCCCAGAAAGACTTAGAGTGATATGTATATTAGCAAGCTGTAAGGAAAAATATGTTTCCTAAGGTGTGGTAAAGAATATCACCTGGGGCTTTAACTCTTTGCTTGCTCTTAAAGTTTTACAAAATTTAACGTGCTTTTTGAAACAAATGAAAAAATACCCCAAATAGCAGTGTCCTCCAGTACCAGTGGAGGCAAAGTTTTTTCCATTTTTGCATTGTTTTCCCAGAGAACACAAGGCCTAATTAATCTATTTTCACAGAACTTTATCTACTGAAAAAGTTACATGGACACATAATTTCTAGATGCCAGAAAGCTAAGAAAAGCTGCTAAGCAGGGTTCAGAGATTTGAGTTTCGTCCTGCAAGTTCCTTCCCACAGTTCCGTTTTTCAACAGGCTTCTTGGGTGGAACCTTCCTTGTGTTCTGCTGTAACAGCTGCTGATCAGCACAGTCTTCTGGCTTGCAAGTGGCTGGAGGAGAATATTTTCTATGAAAAGACAGATTAAACCTCAGCAACTTACGAATCGCAGCCTCCAGATATGCCAAACATACCAAACGGCGATTACCAGCTTCCTACCAAGCTTTTCCCTGTGCATTTTTTGCTGAAAGATACAACTGGATAAAGCTCGATTATGAGAATTATGGATTGCCCAACTATATCACAGGCTTTTTTTTTTTTTTCTTTTAATGGGAGGAAAGGAGAGGGCCCAGCTGATTCTGTCTCCAGTGCAGAGCTCACATGATAACACTGCCATTTTCTCATCTGAACTGACTTCGGGAGGATATTAGAGACTTCTGGTTAGACACCATGTTTCCATGAAGGAAGGAGTAGTAAGAAACAGCTTCACATGTTACCACAGAGGTTACAAGTTACTTTCACAGGTTACTACAGAGGAGAATACAATTTTTATTAAATTTGCAGTTAAGAGCAGTCAACATTATACCTTCTAATTGTACAGTGAGGGGTTATTTGTTAAGACAATGTTCCAAAGAACCTAAGCTTCCCTTTCTGTAATATCTTCTGCTTAGAGCATAATAGCAGAGATTGTATTATTCTTCTTTAAGATACACACAAAAAAAAGAAATTATCAAACAGAAGACCATAAGAACAGCAGCTTATCTAAGTTACAGAAACAAGCGTTTTCAATAAAGCTTGTTTACAAGGAAGCATAATTGTTTATACATATGCCATTTCTATCAAGTCACAGACTTTCCCTTTTCTCAAATCTATAGCATACATTAAAGTTAAATTAGCATTTGCATTTTAGCTACGTATCTCTATACTCTATTCATGCCACAAGATAGCTTCCAGAGGATCTTGTCAATAGAAGGAGAAAAAAAAAAAAAAAAAAAAAAACCAAGCAGAAAAACAGCAGAACAAGACAATTGACTTCAGCCCGAAAGGAGGAGTTTATAATGTCCTGACAACTAATGATGGCTAAACTTGGGGGCCTAAACTAGGGCAACTTGTGTATCAAAGCCATCTGCTCTAAACTGACTCCACATGCAGAAACAGTGACTTCTGCTACAACAGTCGTTCCACTGAAAAATAATGTACATTAACTGCAGGTTAAGTAAGACGTTACTAAACAGTAAGCATTAAGATCTCACTTTTACTATTTTAAGGCAGCTATAAAATAGTTGAAAGTGGAACACTTTCAAGAAACTTGAGACAAACCTCTCTTCGAAGACAAAAAAATTGAGATCAACTGCTTTTTGAGACAGCTCTAATCTGTAACCCCACTGACTTCAACATCAGTCTACCAGAAGAAAAAAAAAAAGCAGAAAGTTTTATCATCACAGATAAACTGGGTTGTACAATCTGGTTTCCCTGTCTAATCCTGCATTGCTTTCAGTTACTTTTCACATGAATTCAATAACTGGATTCCAAACACGCTTGCTGGCAGCACGAACAAACTCAAGAAGTCAGCGTGTATGCTATGCAGCCGTGTCTGAGCCAGATCACCAGATTAGCAAGATCTTTTTAAGCAAGTCTCCCCAAACAATGATTATGCTAAGGAATCACTGGATGGTAGAACCAGTTTTGCTTGGAACAGCCTGAGCCATGTAAGGTAAAGAAGAATATGTAGATGTGATTTATGGTTTGTTGTTGTTAGCTGAGATACTACTAAATAGAAAGCAGCTGTGTATTCAGGAGGTCCACAAACTGTACTGCATTTCTGAAGAGTTAAGATGTAAAGCCAAAAAGTTCACATTGGAAGTGACAATATTTAAACACTTTGAGGAACAAAATCAGCAGCATGCTTAAGAGGTGAGTGAATGAAATAAGTTCCCTCTTGCTAGGCTGAACTTGCTCTAGTATTTAATTAGAGCCATGGACACGTCTCAATGAGATAACAGACTGGGACTAGATATAATAGTCTGAAGAATACAGGGTAAGAGAAGGCTGAATGCATCTTTTACATGCACAGATTGATTTATTTCAAAAGACTCTAGACCTTGATTATTCTTCAGCTGCACCGTTGCTGTAGCAGGGATGCCAAGCAAGCAGAATAGACCAAATATCTGGTTATTTCTAGTACCCTAACTCCAAAAGCAGTGAGTAACAGGTATTTCAGATGATAGCACAAGAGAACCGTAACAAAAACAATATAAAAGGTCTACAAAAAACTTCTACTTATCACCTAAACATGTCAGCGTTCAAATTACACCACTGAAGTGAGGGCACACACCCCTTATAAAGGTAATCGATAAAATGCTATCCAGTCCACTACAATACAATTTCCTACTCTAACTTCCAGTGGAAACAGCCCTGTTGTTGGAGGTAAATTTCATTCCCCAAAGCTTTTAAACCTGTTGCCACATTTCATTAAGTTGGTAGAACACTTAAACACAGTTAGGTTCCAGCAATTTTCCTGAGACCATTTTACTCTTGACTACATGCCCATAAATAACTGTGCTAGAAGAGATGAAGAGGCAACAAGTGGCAGCATAGGTTTGGGGACTGATATTGAGAAGACATAACCATAGTAAACCCTTTGTAATAAGTGAGTACATCCAGAAATGCAGTCCACATCCAGCTCACAATCAATTAAACACTTTTGTGAAGCATGGGATAGCCTGCACTCTACACTAGAACCATATATTGATCAACAGTCCTAATGGGACTTGTAATTTTTCTTTTAGTTATAATCAAGTTTGCAACAGTACAAACTTGGGCATCTGCACAATAAAACAGGTACATTCAACTGATTGGCACTGGATCTGTGTGTGTAATCTTGTGCGTAAAATACCTAAAAGAGCATCTGTAACTGCAATTTGGCATTTGCAATTTAGCACAGAATACCTTTATTGAATAATAATGTTAGGTACCCATCATTCCCACTACACAGTTCTTTACAAGTATCTAAATCACTAATTGAAATATTAAGTAGACAAAACATTTGTGTCCTGTAGTGCTCACTTCTCCTATTTTCCCTGTTATTTTCATCAGTATTGTTACAGACAGTATACACTTAAAGTTTATAGATTTAGTTTGGTATCTCCATTCTTACATTGCCCTTGCAAATCAAAGTTAATATGGACTTCTCTGATCTGGATGTTCTTACATACAGTTTTAATAGATTTTATTATTTTCTTCCTGAAGAATGTGTGTTTGACCATGAAGCTTGTTGAATATTAAACACCACCATATAACTTCTTCCTCCCCCAGAGCATCTTTGTTCTGTGTTTAGACTATCACTAGATTATTTTAGGATGCTTAAGTAGACTCTCTGCCAAACATTTTAACTTTTTCCACCCAACTCCATTTGTCAGTTGTTTTAAATACCCTTATGAAAATAACAGCAGTTATTGCTTTTGGTACAATTTTTCTTCCATTAATCTTAGTATTCCCTAATGATTAATATTAGGCTTGAGCATATAAATCAGTAACCAGTCTACTACTAGTGGACTTCAGCATATTATATGACTACTGTATATTCCGTGTAATTGGTGCCTTTTAACAGAACTATACACACTAATTAAGATGTTGTAAAACAAAAGTGCTATAGTCTTATTAGAGTTTACAAGTGTACAAATAAAGACTTACGAACTGTAAATCAATGCAGGATGACATTTTAAGTGCGTAAATAAGCAGACAAGATAAGGGGTCTGAATCACACCGTGTAAAAATCAGTAGTTAGAAACTATAAAAGGCTAGTATGTGACGTAGGTGATAATTTAATTACTCTTTGGAAGGAGAATTTAGGTAAGTTATCTGAATGTCTGAAGATTCTCCCAGGTAATTCTTAGATTTTACCTACCAAAACCTTCAAACTTACCCAACAACTTTTCACCAGTTACAGAATTTAATGAAAACTTTTTATTTCCTCTAAACCT